AAAATGCATTTGTTTCTCGGTTTTCATCTAACGAAATGAAAAACGATCGTTTTGCCAAGGTATGATACGTGCAGTGCTTTCGAAACTGTTTCACCGATTGTTCTCGTGGAAAAGCTCGTGGAAAGGAAGTGGGCGAGAGTTCGAATGCTCGGTACCTGAGATCCATTACGTTTCGGTTTTCCGCAGTATTCCGCGATGTATCCGACGGAAATTGGAAAAATAAATGAAAATCGATTTTTCTGTCCGCTGCCTACATCTACGCTTATCGTCTCTCCATAATAACCTACCAGCGAGCAATCCCTTTTGCCCCATCGACTCTTGCCATTCCTCTCCCCAATCTTCCAGCCCGACATCTTGGATCGGGCAAAAAGTGTAAAGCACGCTTTCATAGGCTACTTTAGAAGCTACTTTGGCGCAATTAAAATACGCTAACGTCGTTAATCAATTTTAGAGAGCTCGAGAAGACTACGTATCGAGCCTGGGAGGGAATGCTGGCGGAAAAGGGAGGAATGCCTTTCGCCCTTGTCTCCTCATGCAGTCTCTGTAGCATTCTGTCGCGAGCCATCTCACCCCCCCCCCCCTTACCCCCGTTTCCCCCTAGACTACTTTGAACCGCGTCACCTTAACTTCGACATCAGAGGCAGGCACTGCGATATTATCCGTTCTAGAGTGCTCGAGAATATTACGTGCGTGGTGTGCACCTCCCACACCCATGGGGCACCCTTTCATGGCCACCTATTTACCCAGCCTGCCTTTCGAGTACCCACCTCGATGGCGACTGCTAATCGAGTTATCGATCCTTGACTCGTCACCGTCAGCGAGCGAATATTAGATTCCCAACAATTTTTAATATCCAACGGATCAGACGGATGCGAAAAAAAAGCCGAAAATAAAATACTTTTGACTTGTCCGTTATCCCGCGCCGATCGCCAGAAGCGGTTCACTGCTTTCTGTGAAAAACTCACTTAATTTCCTCGATCCCGATTTTCAAGTAAAAACGTCAAGAGCAATTAGTTTCATTAAAGCTCAGTCCGCGAAAAATGGTGAAAAAGTTGCTTTCGATTTAATTTAATGTACAATTTGAACAAAACAACTTGTCGAGTGAAATATATATTTTATTTTTAAATGCTGCGAGAATGTTGTTTGAAAATTTAGATTAGAAAGAATTTGCAATTTTATCAAAAGAATCAAAAGTTTCTAAATTAAATTTGTATACAAAAAAACACGACTATGAGTAATTTTGTTCTTTTTTACTTTTAATGAAATTTCAACTGCAGATGTTATTTTCTAAAAATATACGTTCAATCAAAGCAAAGTTTAATTACTTTTAAATCAAAAAATGTGTGATTAAAAGTTTACAAATTCGATGTAATAAATTTGAAATGTGAAATTTATTTCTAAAATTAATGTTTCTTGTTTGAAAGTATTTAAACGTTGCAATTATCAATTTTAATTTTTTTTCTGTATAGATGAGTATCATTTTTTAACTTTAATGTTACTTATATTTATATATTTAATGTTATAATCTGGCACCAAGTTTTGTTGTGCTTAAAAAAGTAATATGGAATGTATTATAAAATCCAGAGTGTCTACTAACCGGGAAATAGCCGAGAATTTAAATTGACCGGTAAAAAACGGGAATTTTATGCCAAACCGGGAATTCCTTTACCATGCTTAAAACAAATTTTATTATATATAAATTTTTTTAAGAAGATTGTCTTCACAGTTTTTCTAAGGATATCGAATTAAGAGAAAAAACGAATTAAAAGTGTTGAAAATTTGAATTTGTAAAATTCTTTACTAATTTGAATTTGTAACTGACTTTTTGCTTTCCAATTAGTAAATTTTACCAATATAGCCATTTCTACTAATTTATTACTGAAATTGACTAATTAAAAAGCAAAAATTTGCTGACACTAATTTAAATTTAGAGAGTATCAAATATCAAGAATATTAATTAATTATTAATAAATTTCTATTCTAAATTTCATATAGGTATAATTTCTTTTAAAGTTTAGTATTTCTTATATCAAGAATTCGCTTAATCGAATTTTTTCCCCAAATTGTAAAATACTTTTACAAAATTTAATATTTATTCTCACTCTGTGAATTTTTGTAATATTACATCTATATTAGAAATATGTGTAAAATTTTTTAAGTTCACTATAACTTCAAATGTAGGTACAGTGGAACCTCGATTATCCGAACTAACCTAGGCACGGCCTGATTCGGATAATCGAAAATTCGGATAATAGAGGTTTTAATGTTTTTCATAATTAAAGTAAAAAAATTGGACAGTTGAACTATATGTACATATTTAATTTAATACATTTTTCAAAGATATATAAGTATATATATTAATTTATAATAATATATTAATAAAACACAATATATGATTTTTTTAAGACTTTTTTGGCATAAACAAACATAAGTAATAAAATAAATAGAGAAAATAAATTTTAAAATTCGGATAGCCAAAAAAAAGTTCGGATAATAGAAATTCGGATAAAATGATTTTCGGTTCGGATAATAGAGGTTTCGGATAACAGAGGTTCGGATAATCGAGGTTCCACTGTACATAGATTGTCGAAACAGTAAATTTTTGAATATTAAAATAAACGTCGATGAAATTCACAACTTTTAGAAACAACTATTTGGAAGGAAAAATATTTTTGCTTCAAATTTTTATCCAAACGAAATTTTTACTTTGATTTTTACAATATCAAGTTGATAAAGAATTTGAAAAATAAAAAATTTGTAGAGAAATTTTATTCTTTTTTTTGTGAAAAAATATTTATTTCTTTTCTCCCAATCGTAGTTCATAAACGTTGTAAATTTCACCAACGTACATGGAGAGAAAATTATATTAAATTTTTTAAAAGTATTTCACAATTTAGAAAAAAATGCGACAAAGCGAAATTTTGATATAAAAAATACTAAACTTTAAAAAAACTTATGTGAAATTTAGTATAATTTTATCAATTATAAGAATTTTAGTTAAATTTTAATATAACTTTACTAAATTTCATATTATTTTTTTCACTGTTTAGTATTTTCTATGTTAAAATTTCGGTTTGTTGCAATTTTTTCACAAACTGTAAAATGCTTTTAGAAAATTTAATATATATTTTCTCTGCGTGTAATTTAAAAAATATTTTTTTCTATTTATAAAGGGACTTTATGTTTCTTGTCTTAAAATCAAGCTTTAGGATCATTTTAATTACTAAGAGTACACATCTTAGGTTTTATTTTAAGAGTGAGAAAATAAAAAATGTGTTTTTTTAAAAACAAGTTAACAATATAAATTTCAAAGAATGAAAGAACGAAAGATTTTGAAAAATAAGGATTCTTTTAAGTAGTTTTCTTTAAAGCATTAAGCTTAAAATAAAATAAATTTAAATTTAATAGAAAAGTCGGGGAAAATCAGAAAATAACTGGGAATTTTTGTTGAAAAAAATATTAGAAACTTTGTGAGATCATAAAGTTCAACAGTGCAGAATAATAGTAAAAACTTTAAATATATTTTAATATACTGCACCTTTATAAAAGTATAGCTTAGTTCAAATGAAATTGCAATTGCAATTTAAAATGCTATTTACATAATTGAAAAAATGAAAGAGAAACTTTTGTCGAATATAATACTTCTGTAAACAGGCATATATTTTTTGTTTACAAGACTACCAAAGATTTGCGCATGAAAAAATATAGATGAACAGAAAGTAAGAATGATACGGTTCGCTGGATACAGACTGATTTCAATATCTAGCTTCAGAAAATCGGATACACGATGTAAATCCGGTGTTGTCTACGGCTCTCGAGTTTCCCCATATATACCCGCACACAGATAATTCAGTCGTTTCACGAGCGAAAAAGAGCTTCAAGAATTGCCAGTATTGTATTCAAGAAGGGTAGATATCACGGATAGATCCGCGCCTATATATAAATGTCAAGAGCAAGATACGTGTGTACATTGATCGTACATAGATTTGTTCGTAGCACGTCTCGCGAAAAGAAGCAAACCAGAAGAATTGAAGTGAGGGGGGTGGGGGTAGGGGATGCCAAAGAAAATTCCAATATAGTTGAAACTCCCCTGGCCGTGCACAGAATGCATTCGGGCTTTGATTGTGCCTTGGAAGCATATTTTCCTCGTACTTCCGATATTGCTGCACACACCATGTTCTTCTTTTTCTTCATCTTCCTCTCCTGCAACTGCGTACGAATCTGCCAGTACTTTTCTACTCCATTCCTCGCAACGTCGCAACTCGCCTCGAAAGTCGAAATGCATATACGACGGAAAAAATGAGTTATTATATATACATTTTTCGAGGCAGAAATTCATTAATATGTACAATTTCATTTTAAATGCCTTTTTATTGAAAGCAGTTGGTTATACATTCTAATTTATAAATATATGATCTCGTTTGAAAATTTGTAGAATTTCATATTCACAGACACTATTTTCATAGACGAGCAGAAAAAGAGTTAGCTGCCGTATCCAACTGAATAGTTGCTGGAGCGCGATCCAATAATTTGGTTAACACATCCAACTGTTGGATACTGTTTCCATGCGAAAAGGTACCCCAGCTATCGCAAAGATAATGCAGCTAAAAAGTTGGATGTATCAACCAAGAAATAGTTGCCCCTTCCAATTAATTGGATCGCGCTCCAGCAACTATTCAGTTGAATATCCGGTATGACTTTGTAAAATTAAATATTCACGTCTTGCGATTGGATGCTGAATAAATCACGAATAAAATTTTTTAAAATTCTGTTCTATTTATTCAAAATGCGTCACCAAAGATGAACAAAATTATCAATGTAACTAATATTTTCGGAAATTCCATATTTAATTAATTTTTGTTTCACTTTAATTAACAATAATTCTTGGAAAGTTGCGATGTACGAAGTGAAATATTAATTACAATATTCGACAGTGACAGATGAATCTGTCTGTAATAATCCGTTATTAATCAACTAATCAAAAGTTTTTTTTGTTTCAGGTGATGAATCTATTCGGAATAAAGAAATAACTTCGGTAGCAACATTTCGATTTATTGAACGATTATAGAATTGAAAGGAAATTATCGAGAGAAGGGAACTGAAAAGAATAATCAGAATCGAGGAATTCTTATTCAGGGAATAAGTGTCAACTTGAAAATAGATGATCCAATTCAAATCTGTTCCCGGAGCCGCGAATCGGTGCAGCAGCCTCGTACCCTCAGGGGTACGATAGATTCTTGAAAGCCCCCAGCATCAAGATAAAGTCAGTGACGTTGCTGCCACAAAATGAGCAGGAACGGGCCCTGCCGCTAGTGGTGGAAACCGCTGTCACCGTACAAGGGCCTCCCTGGCTGAAAGGGGGCCCCAAACACGGCCCCCCAACGGGCCCAGCAGATGCTCCATTAGACGAGGCATCGTTGCGGGCCAGCAGTTCAGATCGGAGAGAGTCGCTCGATCCGGAGAGTCGGGCCAAGAAGGCCCGTCGATCCCTCAAGTATCTGAGAGATCGATCAGCCGACGAAGATAGCCATCAGGCGAGTGGGAACCCTCCGAAAGTTGGAGCGACGGCAGTAGCTTCGAATAGGAGACGTAGCCATTCCTGCAGGAGACAAAAGGGCAAATGTTCCCAGAAGAGGACATTGCCGGTTCCAGTGCATGCTGAAAATTCATCACGTCGGAAGAGGACGGAAAGGTCGCGGGAGCGTGTAGAGTCGCCGGAAGTGAGTAATCTTCGCGAGTGTTGCGTTTTAGTGAGCAGGGAGGATCCGAGCGAGCATCCCATTAGTAATCTCGCTTGGACGAATAATATCGCGAGTGTCGAGCCCGTTTTGGTGCATCAGAGTGAATGGATTGTGAGGTGTCCGCCTTATCAGGAGGGCAATATCATTGGGCCTAAGCGCCTCGGCAAGTTCGCCAATATTATTGACAATTCGAACGAGGCTATTAAGGACGTGAATAAAAAAGTGTTAGCGATGGCGAAAGCGATGACACCGACGTGGTCGCTCAGACTCCTTGGTGTTAGTTGTGGTTCGGTGGTTTGTGCTTGGGGACTGCTGCTGATCCTGTCAGTTCTGGGTGGCGCGACTCACAACACGGGAATCGGAAGCTTTGGTCTTGGCACCTCAGCTGAGGATGGTATCAACAGCGCGAGTTGTCCTGGGGCCTGTAGCTGCGTGGGACATAATATCGAATGCTCCTATCGTGGACTCACTCAAGTTCCGGGGGACCTGGCCACCATGCTCTCTGCCGAAAAATTGTAAGTTTGTATTTTATATTCATTTACTGTAAACATGGTTAATCTTAATATAAGATAATGTTTTGGAAGGCACTTTTAAGTTATTTGAAATATCTTACAAATCAGTAAAAGAAAGTCTTATTTTAAGGCAGGAAACAGTCTTAAATTAAGACGCAACATTTTTAAGACAGTCAATGCTGAATTTAAGCAATGGATTTTGTATGATTTAACATTAGAGCAGACAGTGCTGAATTTAAGACTGATCTTAAATTAAGATTTATTTTTTACTGTGTAATTTAAGATGTTAAAATTATTTTCGTATACACATTTTTACCATATTTTTTTGGAATAATGTTTTGAAGTTAACTTATGGGCACATATGTAAAACTCTTTGTGTATCTTAATTTTTAGAAACTTATGTTTTTGTCGCATCTTATACCATTCACAAGTATCTTATCTCTAAACATCTTATTGAGTCAGAAACATCTTAATTTATAAGATTTTTTAAAAAACTTACAGAAGAACCTTACACTTTTCTAAGATGGAAGAAATATCTTGAATGCTAAAACGTATAAAGCATCTTAGAAATTAGTAAGATTTAGAAAACATCTTATTTTAAGATAACAAAAAAGACAGCTATTTTTGCAGTGCAATAAATAATGTAATATTATAAATATGAAAGTTTAATTGCTTTCACAAGTTTGAACTTTAACACGTAAAACTCGGAGATTCCTAAACAATTTCAATTACGTTTATTTCGATACTTTTTAACATAATACAACATGATGAGGAAAGTTTCATATTAAATATAATCAATTTTCTGTTTATGAAGTTGAAATATTTTTATGATCGATGAAATAATTTATCTATCGTAGTAGTCATTGTACACAAATATTTGGAAATATTCCAGATGAAAGCAATTTTAATTACATTGATATGAAATTTAAAAGCATTCCATAGATTAATAGACAAGCTTTCAGATAAAAGTTTGAAAATTTAAAATGAAATGCAATTTTTTTACTGTTACTTCAAATAGAAACTTATAAAAACTAAGTAATAGTTTTTCAGAAACATAAATTTGATAAATACCTATATAAATGCAGAAATAATAAAGTTGCTTTATTATCCATAATATTAATTTATATTCTAAACGTGGAATCTATTTCAAAATTCGGTTAATTTTTACAGTTATATGTACTATTTGACAGAAGCTGATAGAAGTTTAGAGATTTTATCTCAAGATCTGGAATATGAATCGATTATTATCCTTAAGACAAAGTTGTGTTTAAATTAAGTATTTCTGCTTTACCAATTGGTATTTGTCTCCAGCGGCAGATTCCGGTAAAGAGTTGAACAGCTTTCTCTAGAAGGAATCAAGTTGAATTAATTCGGAGGCAAGTAGGCTTGAATAGCGTGGTGTATTATTTGTCTTCGTTATATGCTTCATTTCCTGTAAAAACAGCTTGTCGACAGCCCGCAGCGAAGGGTCGACGGAACGCATGTTGTTTTCACGTGAAACGAACTGTATAATAAGGCGGTGCCCAGTAGCTCTAATCCACCGCAGCCTTTACTATTCTCGATGATTCGTGAAAAACGTGCGTCAGAGTCAAAAGTACACACCCCTTTCATTGCTTACCTCTTTCACATAAAACCACTTTCTTCGCTGTGCATTTTCAAGTTGAAGATCCCAGATTCCTTTTATTCCCCTACCAATTTGAGATGAGTTGCAATCCTCAACTTTTACTAATACTAAAACATACGTGTTCACTTTTTCTGTTTAATTTTTATTATATCCAACAACTTTTATTAAAGAGCTATTTCACTAATTTTAAAGCGCCAAGTAATTTTAGTTGAATGCAAAAACAAAAAAGTGTTGAACTAGTGGCCAAGAGCCAACGCTTTCAACCGAAATAATTTTATTTTCCGTTCTAAAATTCAATTGTATGAATAGAGAAATAATAAAAGTTGATAAAAGTTTCATAGAAGAAGAAAAATTGAAATAATGATGCGATAATGATGCGATAATGGGCGATTTTGTGCGCAACGAGACATATAGGTGACCTATTAATGTAATTAATTAGTAATTAGCATACAATTAATATGCCAATCACGACCTAAAAAACGAGGGAATCAAAGTAGATTGCATACTGATAAGGATGACTGTCGAGATGAATTGTGTTTACCGTGAAAAAGCAGCTTGCGCGTGAGGCACGCGGGACATCCTACTATTAATACCTAATGCCTTATTAAGCAGGATTATGAATATTTAAATTCATCCCGACCATCGCGCGCACAACCCCTCGGTTCTTGAGTGAGCCAAGCATGAACACCGTGTCGGTTTTGAATTTCATGGGATTTGCATCTCCGATCAACGCTGTGTGCTTCATTTTCGGGGAAGCGACTCTCGTTTTGAATCTTTTTGATCTTCCGGAAACTCTTCCGCACTCCAAGTGTACTAGAAGTCAAACGAGGGCTTATTGCATTAGAATTCATTGGAATATTTACTTAGATATCCTTACTTTTGTGGAATATTCAAATTTTATCAAGCTATTAAAACATTTATTAAACTTGCACGAATTCTGCTTGCTGCAAGTTTTAATTTTCTAATTTTAAAGCAAATCTCATTGTTCCCGGTGTTAACTGGAGTAAACGTAACACTTTTCACAATCTAAGCATAATCGGGCGCTGAAAAATTCTCTATTTGATTATCATTAGTATTATAATTATTTTATATGAAAGTAGAATACACTGCAAAAATAAGTGTCTTATTTGATATCTTAAAATAAGATGTAAGATGGAAAAATGGTATCTTACATCTTAAAATAAGATGTTTTCTAAAGTATCTTACTGATTTTTAAGATGTTTTATACGTCTTAGATATTTCTTCTATCTTAAAAAAGTAAGATACTTCTGTAAGTTTTTTAAAGTATCTTAAATTAAGATGTTTCTGTCTCAATAAGATGTTTAGCGATAAGATACTTGTGAATTGTAAGATGCGAAAAAAATTTAAGTTACTAAAAACTAAGATACATAAAATGTCTTACATATAAGCCCATAGTTAACCTCAAAACTTTTTTCCCGAAAAATATGCTGAAAATATGTACGAAGATGCTTTTAGTATCTTAAATTAAGATATTTTAAATGACTAAAAAGTGACTACAATAACATCTTAGAAATGACTACCAAAACATCTTAAATAAGATACTTCTTTTTGCAGTGTAGTATACTCAATTTTTGAATAAGAGTAGTATTCTTTCCTATTCTATGTTCTGAAAAATATTAAGAGTCACTAACAAAATGTCAGAACGAAAAGAAAAGATTGTAATAGTAATTGATTTATTAATATTTTGTAGCCAGACATCGAATAGAATCTGTTTATTAAATTTTTGAGATGAAACGACGTCTTTCCGTGTGGCCATATTACCTACACTGGTAGGTACAAGATGAAAAATTTTTCTCACGGCCTTTATGTTCACTGATATATCTAGTTCGTGACTATTGATGACGGATGTAGAATGAGAGTCACTGTGTGTACCTGTTAGCTTGGACGTTTATAGTGTGCCTGATGGAGAGATAACGAAAGACAGCGTTTAACCAACCAGATGGACAGAGGTTATATCTGGACCATCATCTAAATCTAAGAAACAAATAGGTCCACGTTTACACATATCGTACACAACACGGAGTAAAATTCGAATTGACTGTTGCTTCTTTATTCAACCGAAAAATGCGTGACAGGCCCCAACAAGCGGCAACGTTGAAATTTTCAACGCATTACGCACGTGATGCTTGTTTTGACGAGCTGTGAACACGCACAATTGATTCTTTGTTTGATAAGCAACCCACTATATTTTTCTTTCGTAAATGCATTTCTTCTCATGTTTTATTTCATTATTTTTGACATTCCAAAGTTTTCAATGGTTATTACGAAATGAAATAATCAATTTACGATCTTTTCATTCTTATATGTTATTACAATTTCTTCTGGAATTGATTCAAATTTATTCATTAAAAGCTTTTCGTCATCTGATTCTGAAAGAATTTTACAGCAATTTAACTTGTTCTGGGGTGTGCATGTATTTGTCTTTACACATTTTTAGAATTTGTCAAACATGGTGTTTTTTCTACTCCAGCAACTTTATTAGATATATCTTTAGGAGATTTACGATAATAAACTTTTGTTCTAGAAAGAGATGATGATTATTTCGTTGACTTCTTACTTCAATCTTACTTCGCATTGAATTAAGAAAGCTAAATTGATATAAAAAATACAATTTTTATAAAATTCTTCATGGTAATTCAATTATTTAAAAAAAATGTAATGCAATTCTTCACTAAAATTCAATTATTTTTATTTAATAAAAGTTTGTATAAGAATTGAATTGCAATTATTCATACAAATTTGATTAAAATTCTTCGAAAGAATTCAAGTTTAAGAAATAAAAGTTGATTTAAAACATTAAAACTGAATTACCTACAGTTAAAATTTTAGATAATAATTGAATATTAAAAGACGTTATAATTTTCGGTGTTAAAGCAACTTTTTGCTACTTTTTTAAAATTAATTATCGAGTGCGCAGCCTGAAAAAAGAATTCTTCCGAACGAAAAAGGATTGAAGTAAAAATTTTCTCAATATAAGTTCAGTCAAATGGTTACATAAAAATCTTGTTAATCAAAATTATTCTAGTATATAGTCGCATTTTCACATTCAAAACTTGCCTACTCAACCATGTTCGTGCATAATTTTCACTTTACGAATATTTTCTGGTTGGAAATAGAAGTAGTAATTATTAATTCTAGTATTTGACATCTTACGCAATTAGCTGAAAGGTTGGATTCTATATAGTGACTGTGTGTTAATACTCTCAACTTCCGTTTCCGTTTAGAAGTCTCGCCCCGGTTTCTCTGGGGTGTATTGTCTTGAGGTAGGGCACTTATGATTTTTCGATTAAGCTAGATAAACAGTACTTGAAAAGTAAACAGACCACAAGAAGCGTGTGTTTGACTAACGCTCGATACC